CATAAACGTACCGTGACCATGGATTACTCTGTAGACTGTAGATAAGGTGGATTACGAATTATAAACTTATTAAGTAAATTTAAGTATAACGAAATTAATTTTGTTTTCAGAGTACAATTAAATGTAAATAAAGTTAATTCCTTTAAAAGGATTAAAGCAGGTCAGATCTTTTAACTCACAATATAATGTTTAAAATATTATTATCATTATTATACATTCATATACAACTTCATTTACATGCATGCTATTTATTGATTTAACTTATAACCCGATATTGAATATATTGCTATTCATATACGTACCCGTATATAGAAGGGAAATATTAAATTTGGAGGCTAAAAGCTCGCCCATTTTACTGCTTCATAGAGAATTAAATTTAGTTGTGTAATTATATAGGGTGTCCCAATATTCCGTGAACATAGAAGTACTAGATATTTTTGGAATCAAAATAAGATCATCGGACACAATTTATCTCTATATAAAAGCGCTTCGTTTATCCGCTAGGACATCAAACTTTAAAAAAAATAAACACATTTTTTCAGATATTTTAAGAACCGTTATTCCGATTTGAATGAAATTTTGGGTGTCTATGTTTTGCTAAGTGCTTTGACATTTGGCTTACACAAAAATCAATATAAAGCACGGAAAGTGTGAAAACTACCCCCACCCTTACATTAATTTTAGTATAAATATTTTTCAACTCCACGGACATTAGATTTTCTTTTCGTAAAATGGTCCCTCTAGTATTTACTACATTTCTTGTTTCTTGTAAAAAGGCTACAATGCCAAGATCTGTAACAAATGCTTCGCCTCTGAAGCCGCAACCATCAAAGCCGGTGAAGAAGCCAGCATATCCAATATTCTCTCGGTCTTAGAAATAAACATCGACAGACGTGGAGCTGCATACGACCTGCTGCTCCAATACGCGCACTCCGAAAACATTAATCTGATAGTGGGACAAGAACCCAATGTGACTGCAAAAAAGAACAACATCTGTGACAAAAACGGTGATAGCTTTCTACGGGCAAACCTAGATAATAAGTGTTCCCTCTTGGACTATATCCCTGGTCCTGGGTATGTATGTATTGAATTTACTAACATGTTAATGTTCTCATGTTACTTTTCGCCCAATAAGCCTAGTGAACTTATAAAAGAGCTACTGACCGAGATAGAAACAATCGTCCGAACAAAGAACAAAGAAGCCATCATTGCGGGCGATTTTAACGCCAAGTCTCTGTTTTTTGGCTCTCGGGTTGAAAATGAAAAAGGAAGAATAATGGAAGAATGGTTAGCCAGTAATGACCTCGTGGTCATTAATCGAGGCCATACCCCCACATTTATGAACGCAAACGGAGAGTCCCTTATAGATATTACCATCGCTACTAATAAAATTAGTAATCAGATCACAAACTGGCGTGTAGTCGAAAACATCGAGAACCTTTCTCTCCATCGATACATTAGATTCGATGTAGTCCTAAATACACAGGGAACTAAAACCAACACCTCTAAGCACGGTTGGCGAATAACCACTAACGGACTACTAAATATACAACATTATTAGCCTGGAACACGGCCTCAAGATGAAGTGTCCCTCGCCGGAAGGACTGGATAAATGTTTCAGAAAATTAGGAAACACATTTCTGCTAAATAAAAGGCAACCAAGCAGAAAACAGGTATACTGGTGGAACCACGATATTATCACCAAAAGGAACGACTGCAGTATTAGGCGTAGACGTACTCTCACAAGACTTAAAGCACACGACCCAGCTAAAGTGGAAAGTGCCAGAAAAGAGTATAGACTAGCTAAGAAAGCTCTAAAATTAGAAATTCTTAGAAGCAAAAAGCAAAAATGGCGAGAGCTATGTGATGAGCTAGACACCGACGTGTGGGGCAAAGCATACCAACTAACGATGAAAAGATTCTGCAAAAACTATCAAGCACCTCTTGCTATAAGGATCATAGAAGAACAGATTGCGACGCTGTTCCCGAGTATGCCGAATATGAAATGGCCAGTTAATCCACCAACAGACGTGCTTCCTTTGTTCTTCCAGGAAGAAGTACTTACAGCCGCCTGCAAGCTTAAAAATCGGAAAGCACCTGGTCCGGACACCATCCCGATAGAAATTATTAAAATCGCTACCATGCACGATACGCCTGCCGTAGCTGAAGTCATGAATAAATGCCTTATGCTTGGCCAATTCCCAAAACCTTGGAAAGTTGCAAAGCTGGTCCTTATCCAAAAACCGAAAAGGGAGAACGACCATACCAAAAAATATAGACCAATCTGTTTACTCAACTCCAGCGGAAAGTTACTAGAATGCCTATTAAGAGATAGACTGGAATCAGAACTAGAAGAAGGCAACAAACTTCACCCTAATCAATTCGGCTTTAGGAAAGGGAAGTCCACCATTGACGCATTAAACATGGTGGTCAACGAAGTAGATCGAATTAAAACCAAAAGTTACCGACATAGAGGATTTTTGGCATTATTCACCCTTGATATAAGGCACGCGTTCAATTCGGCTCCATGGCTCGGCAATGCAACTCAATTAGAGCATAAGAGAATTAGCCCATACCTTGTACGCATGGTACAGTCGTTCCTGTCACATAGATATGTCATTACAGAGTACGGCGGGAAACACAGAATGACGTGTGGAGTCCCTCAAGGTTCGATCCTCGGACCCACCCTCTGGAATATATTTTACGATCAGATACTTAGAACCGATACAGGCCTGGGCAACACGATCTTAGCTTACGCGGACGATCCAGCCCTCTTAATAACTGCATCCACCTACACGATCCTCGAAGAAAAGATTCAGACGGCTGCGCTAGCGATTAAAAATAAGTTGGAAAGCATGGGCGTCAAACTGGCCCCCGAAAAAACTGAGCTGGTCATTCTCGTTGGACAACGCAAGGCAAAAGATCTAAACATAAAGCTGGATAATTTAGTTATAAAACCTCAAAAGAAGGTTAAATACATGGGGGTTTGGTTCGACTCGGGCATGCAAATGACTTCACACGTCACAGAAATCAGGGATAAAACGACTGGCATCATCCAGCATCTGACGAGAATAACTCCCAATATCGGAGGACCTCGCGCGGAAAAAAGAAGACTTCTCGCTTAGGTAGTTCATTCGACCATACTCTACGCATCGCCGATCTAGGACAGATCCATGCGCTTCAAGCATTACGAAAACATGCTAGAAAGGATAAATAGGAAGTTAGCACTCAGGGTTGCATCGGCATACTGCACATGTCCAACAGTAGCAGTACTGTGTCTTGCTAAGATACCTCCAGTCAGTCTACTGATCCTGGAAAGAAATCAAATATATAAAAATGGAACTTCCTTCCGGAAAGAGGCCAGAAACATAGAGCAATGGCAGACACGATGGGAAGCATATAGCGGATGGACAAAGACTTTCATACCCAATATTAAAGATTGGATAAAATGCGACCAAGCAAACACGGACTACTACATCACGCAAGCCATGACTGGCCATGGAGTATTTGGCGAGTATCTGCACAGGATCCGCAAGGCTGACTTTCCTAATGCTGGTATTGCGAGGTGTCAGACTCGGCTAACCACACACTATTTGAGTGTCACGCGCACGAAGATTTACGGGAAAACGCAGAAACAGTGTGTGGTACGAAGATTTCTAGAGTAAACGTCGGAAACCTTCTAACATCATCGAATGAAAATACCGAAGCGATTTGCGGCATGTTAAGGAACATTATGAAGAAAAAGGCGATGGACGAAAAAAACAAGATCTGGGTACAGACAAGACCAACATGCGTTTCCCATATAAACAGGCGTTTCCCATCTATAAAAAAAATTGTTTCTTGTAAAAAACGCCACATCACATAATTTTTTAGAAAAGAAATTTTGGAGAATTTATTTTTCCGCAGCAGACCTACAAAATATACAGGCAGTTTCATTGAATCAAAATACATTAATTGTACATAATTTATCTTTATACAAACGTGCTTCGTTTATCCGTTAGAGGGCATCCATCAAAAAATTCAAAAATAGATAAATTAGAGCATAATAGATTAGACATAGATAGATACGACAAAACACATTTTTTTTAAATCAGCTTTGGAAAATTTTTTTTTCCTCAAAAAATATGTGGGGTGACGTTTTTTTTACAGAAGTCAAAAAATGTAGTAAATACTAGAGGGGCTATTTTAGGAAAAGAAAATGGATCGTCGGTTCTGTTGGAAAATATGTATACTAAAATTTATGTAGGGGGGGGGGGTAGTTTTTAATCTTCCCGTACTTTTTCTTGTTTTTTTGTGAAAGCCAAATGTTAAAGCACTTAGCAAAACATAGACACCCAAAACCTGACACCCAAAAAAAATGTGTTTATTTTATTAAAGTTTGATGTCCTCTAGCGGACAAACAAAGCGCTTTTATATAGAGGTAAATTGTATCCAATGAACTTATTTTGATTCTAAAAATAGTTATATGTCCACGGAATACTCAGACACCCTGTATACAGTCGGTTGTGAGACGTTTTTGAAGAAATCCAACCTTAATATACGCAATAATAAATATAACTTAATGCGTAACTTATTAAAAAAAATTAAAATATAGATAAAAAAAAAGATAAAAAGAAACTTCACAATACTGTTTTTCAAAAACGTATTAATAACAAGTTGAAATTTAAAAATTCCGATCATTGACATAAAGTACGTCTACTGGATCTATGTCTATGAAAGGAATGCGAACAAAAAATGTATGAATAAACTTTACTTTTAATTTTCCACAGCCAGGGCAATTGCCTATACAAATCAATAATAGTACAAAACTTCCAGCTTGTCAAAAGATGGGAACGTACGATTATTCAAGCGATCTACAGATTCAGACCTGTCGACGGCCTGTATGTGTATGGAGAAATTTACATTATATATTACAAATCGACAGTTCTCCAAACCAAACCAAACCTTAATACGCTGGAAACGAAAATATTTTAAAACTAAAATTAGTCCGTTATTTCCAGGTGATGTGTTTTGCTGCCTTCATCAGTGGTTTTCTCGTGGCTATAATCCAACTGGCAGCCCAAGTCTACGTCAGTGAAATAGCAGCCCCGTCAATCAGAGGAGGACTGAGCGCGCTCCTAAAAATCTCCGGCCACGTCGGCGTGCTAGTCTCTTCGGCTGCAGGCGCTTTCCTCGACTGGAGACAACTGGCAGGCCTCATATTCTTCGCCACAACTACCATGGTTCTGGCTATGTGGCGAATCCCAGAAAGCCCTGGTTGGTTAGTACTTCAGGGGCAAGATCTTGAGGCGGAAAAGGCTTTGAGATGGTTAAGAGGCGATAACGCCGATCTCCAATTAGAGTTATCGCTTCTACAAGCTCACGTGATATCGAGGAAGATTCCCACTAACCCCAGACTATTTCTTCAAGTTTTAAGGACACCGGCATTGATTACATGCGGCTTAATGTTCTTTCAACGATTTTCTGGGGCAAACGCTTTTAACTTTTATGTTGTCATGGTGTTCAAGGAGACTTTCGGAGGAACTAACCCTCATAGTGCTGCAGTTGCAGTTGCGATAGTTCAACTACTCTCGTCTTTACTTTCCGGTCTTCTAGTAGACAGCGCTGGAAGGTTACCTCTATTAGTAGCCTCTAGCGTGTTAATGTCTTTGGCTTTAGCTTCTTTTGGATCTTTCGCATACTACGAGGACGCGAGTTCTATTTCAGTACCTAACCTAGACTGGATTCCTCTTCTGTGTGCTCTAGTGTTCACCGTAGCATTTTCCTTGGGCATTAGCCCAATATCTTGGTTACTAGTCAGCGAATTGTTCTCCTTAGAACACCGAGGGCTAGGCACAGCGCTAGCAACTTGTTTCAGTTATTTTTGTGCTTTCGTCAGCGTAAAGACCTTTATAGATTTCCAAGAGCTCTTAGGGTTATGTGGAGCTTTCTGGTTATACGCTTTTATTTCAGTTTGTGGACTTTGCTTTGTTGTCTGTTGCGTACCAGAAACCAGAGGTCGAGATTTGACAGATATTGACACAGGAAGCTGACCCGCCGCGAAAAAACAGCTACGGAAGGTATCCGTAAATGTAGTAGAGAGGTATTGCTAGCGTAGCTGAGATATTACAAATCAAATGAGAAAATATACAAATGACAATAAAATGATAATATATTTACCTGCTCAAATATTTATCTGATAATAAATTATACAGAAAGGTGTCCTTTTTGACAAATTAAAAAACATAAAAATGACAATAATATATTATAAAATGGGTTGTTATGTCAAAAGTGAACAGAATATACGTATGCATATACAGTTCATACCAAATAAACTTTTAGTCACGTGATTAAGCTTGACCGGCGCAGCGTTGCCCACTTTTACATATTTATTCTTTTAATTTTACATTTTTATTCTTTTAATCAAAATATTTTAGGAAACAAAAATAAATTAATTATAAATATATAAACAGTTATTATTTACATCAACAAAACTCACCTCCTTAACAGCACTTAAGGGATATCGGTTAGTAAAGTAGGTAGTAGCCTTGTTTATATATTAATAGTTAGTCAATGTGCCTGTATAAGTCGATGCTGCCAACTGGTGGCAGAAATTAAAACGTAAAAAGGGGCGGAGACTATTGAATTTGGCAAAGAAGTAGGGACTAGGAATTCTTCGAATTTAATTCTCGGTAAAGAATAAAATATCTTATCTGCTTTGAACCGAATTTTTACCTCAAAGCGTTATTTACATTTTTTATTTTTGGATATGGATTTATATTTATTTTGATTTTCATGGCCCCTTGTTAAATACTAAATTATTATATTAGGTATATATGTATATATTTTATTTCTAGATGGATAATTAAAATAATATATGAAACTATACCTACCTACCTCTGTAACTTTGTAAAAAGTATGACGGATTTAACATAATGTTTTTTTTTAAATGTAACATCCTATTTTATTTTAGATCCTGCGTAAAATTATTACTTTTTTATGTATAATCCTTGTATAATGGTGTAACCTAAAACTAGTTTTCTAATATTTCAATTTGTTGATGAAGAAAAAATATTAGATACTATGTAGATATTTAAGGCAGATGCTACAGGGTGTTCAACATATATTAATGGTTAATTCTACGTATTTAAAATTAAAAAAATATCTGCAGACTCTTTCACACAGACTCTATGACACAGCCTATACTGAGTGTTTTTTTTTAAAGTGGTTCACCTCTATAACTTTTTTATTTTTTCAGATTCCGAGAAAAAAACTAAATTGGGAATGTTAGTAGGTATATAACATAAATCGAGATTGATTCGTATTCAGTTAGTTTCGGTCACTTCCTGTTTCACCGGAAATGTATACATTTGATTTTTAAATGGTACCCTCGGTATTTTTTATACCGTAAGATCGAATAAAAACGGCGTCAGCGATGGCTATGAAATGAACATCGATGACATTTCTCATATAAATTTACATATAAAATGACAGCGCTTTTCATTTCATAGCCATTGCTGACGCCGTTTTTATTCGATCATACGGTACTTTATTTGATAGAAAATGACATTCTGAATAGAATGACAACTTGTGACATCAACAATCATATGTCAACTTTTGACATTTTCAATTAAATCAAAAATAGCATTTTAAAATTCAATCTAGTGTCATGGCTGTGTTAAAACCATTATTTTTTAATCAAGGATTAATCAAGGAGCTTTGGAAAAATTGATTTGGTCGTCTAATATTTTTTGTGTCTTTTCCTGGTCAGTTGAAATATGCCCATTTCGTATTTTAATCATAACTCAATTTTTTTTAATGAAACGAGAGTGGCTCATTAGCATATTTGGAAAAGCATTTTTGATACCTAATAAATTTTGGTACCTAATTTTGGTAAATAATTTGGTACCACACACTCCGTATGTCGAGTCAAACTGTCGTTATCTTTACGACCGGTTACATGTTGTTTATTATCATGGCACTCTACTAGATTGAACTTTAAAATACTATTTTTTAAGTAAAAGAGTCAAAAGTTGACATTGAATTATTCTATTGAGAATGCCATATTCTGCAAAATAAAGTAAAAAAATACCGACGGTACCATTTAAAAACCAAAGTTGTAGTCATTTCCGGTGAAACAAGAAATGACCGAAACTAATTGAATACATCAATCAAGCTACTTTTGAAAAACACCCGATATATTATAATTCTTTCTGATAGATTTTACAAAATCCTTCAACTTCTATTAAGAATGTCATATAACTAAATAAATCACTTTACTTAATGTTTAATAATAAATAATTTTTGTTTTGTCATATGGCAACTTGTTATAATGTAAATGAATTAAAAGAAGGATAAAATTCAGAACAGATTGCAAGCTGTTGAGTATAGGTGTACTTAATATACTTTCTTAACAAATGTTGAAAGGTTTTGTAAAATCACTAGAAAAAATAATAATATATATATATCGGATCAGCCAAAAAAAATGTTTGAACACAGTGTAGCATCTAACTGCAAGTATTTTTACATATAAATATATTTTTTGTCATACGCTCCCAAAAACAGCTATTTTACGGACTCATTTCAGTCCGTAAAATGTTTCTTTTTCGGCCTAGGCCGTAAAGGTCGTCATGGCAACCTTTATGGACTAAAATGTCTAAATTCGTTATTTGGTTGTTTTATTTTGTCATTCGAAATTTGTCACAAAAATCACATAAAATTATACATATATTTATAATTAAATTATTAAATACTAACAATATCAAAAGCTAAGTTATTTGTTTAAAGTAAGTACCTAGGTACTTACTTTTTCGTGGAAATAATTTAGCAATACATCTTCATTTACAACGAATACGCCATTTTTGTCTTTCCATTCATTAAAAACATCATATTCTTTCTGGTAAATGGCACGAGACTTCACAGGAAGTAAATCCAACACGATTTCTTTGGCCTTATTAGCAATATGTTCGGGATTTTGGAACATTTTAAAATTGTTGATGAATTTGTGTGATTTTGTGACAAATTTCGAATGACATGTCAAAATGCGATGAAATAAACAAACTCGTTACTAAGATATGAATTTATAAGCCAACTTTTTTCAAACATTATAATTTCAAATATGGAAAATTTGCAAATATGCGTTCTAAAAAACTGTAAAAAGCGTATGACAAAAAATAGTGTATGTAACACGTACCTAAATTATGTTTTTTAGGACTCATCTACTATTTCGGACTCGGCTAACGCCTCGTCCGCAAACAGTAATGATTCGTCCTAAAAAACATCATTTTAGGTACTAGTTACATAAATAGCTATTTTTTTCATCTCTGTAAAACACTCCTACCAAATTTGTGTAGTCCAACTTCGGAAACAACTGACAGTTAAGTAACATAGGAATAAAATTTTACTTTTTTTTTAAATTGTAAATACTTACTAACGTTATTTATAAAAAAAAGTTATAGAATTTTAGGCAGAATCGATAATAAAATAAAAATGGAGTTTTGCATTAATAAACATGTATCCGCCACATTTTTTGAAGCAACCAGTATACTCAAAAATAACATTTGAACTGTGTCTCTAAAGATTCTCTATACCCTTTTTTTATTTTTTTGGAATTCCCTAAACAAACGAGATAATTAACTTTATTTCTTTCGTGATATCTCATTTTATAATATTTCGGAAGAATTAATCAGGTATCTTATTTTTATAATTATTAGAAATAAATCGGAATTAAAGGATAAAGGATATGTAAATATATACCATACGATAAAAAAACGGCCTCAGAGGTGGTTTGGAAATGAATATCGATGTCATTTGTACCTAAACAAATAGACGCCGTTTTTTTTTCGCTCATACCGTATAAGAAAAAAAATTTAATAAAGCAAACGCATTTATTAATACATGTATATAGATTTACATGGTATGAAGAAATTCGCATTATGATCTCTGAAGGTCCCACCAATGCTTGGTTAAAGTGGCGAGTACGACCACTTAGCAGTCACACCTATAATAATTTAATAAAATATGAATATAATAAACAAACTTATTTCTTTTAGATTTTTTAAAAGCGAGTTATATGTGTTAAGTGGTTTTTGATTATTTTAGGCTAAATTTTTTAGACATATTATTTTAGACCAAATTGTCTGCCCACTCAAACGTCTTCAAAATTATAATGTAGGAAATTCTTAATATGTTTTAATTGGGAATACTTTTAGAAAGTTTCATTTTCACCAAACAAAACTACGTATGTATAATAAATTGCAGTATAATCAACTATAATGCATGATATATACTAGGGGCGTCAAAACTAGATGTTGGGTTTTTCTCGATTATTTCGAACAGAACTCCAATTTTTTCTCAAAAATTTTTTCCAACTTTGTTTTGAAAAATAATTTTTAAATCCATAATCGATGTATATACAGTAATGTCCTCTTTTAGAATACATAATTATTTTCAGCTGCATCGATAAAATAAATCATATTTACTGATGCCAAGTAAAAAAATAATTAGAAAATTATTTTAAACATCTAATTCTTAATTTTTGTCGCTGATAAATAGATACATCACTTTTGTCGACAAACCTACTAATAAAAATTGCGTAAAAAATCATGTTTATTCGCAAAGAGACAATTGAAAACAATTTAATAACTATTAATTTGGGATATAGATCTTAATAAAACAAAAGTTGCATAAAAGCTTTGTTGATTTATGATATAAAATACAGTGTTTCATTTGAAATAGCAAAGAAAAATATAATATCTAGTTTTGACTCATCCTGTATATAATAAACAATTTAGTCTATTTTAATATAATTATATGAATTATATAATTATTAATTATTAACTTAAATTAGTTCCAGTAAAAAACGTCGATATTACCTATTTTTAACTTAACTTAGAAAGAGAGGGCTTTAAATATATATTTTATTATATAAACAATAAAATTCAATCCAAAAAGGGTCAAAATATATTCTTTGGTCAAAATGAACTCTTACGACTACGACATTATGGTATTTTTTGGAATGACAATTTAATAACAAATCCACCAAGCAAAAATACAAAATATAGCCTTTCTTTTCACAAACTCATAACCTTTGCTCATAACTAATAACTTTAAAAGTAAATATATATTTGAATCATCCTGTATATCTATAAAAATACCTCCCTGTCAAATTTACGCTACTTTTGCAAGCATATTTTACAAAAAATATGATTTGAGTGAAAATATAAAATAGGAAATCTGATATGAAGCTTTATCTAAACACAGGGTTGACTGTAGATAAAAAATATTTTACGTTATCAAGTTATTAAGAAAAATTCTCGGAAAAATTATAAAATACACAATATATCTGACAATTCCAAAAAAGCAAAGTGAGAAATGAAACAATTTATAGCATAAAATCAGTATTTTTTTAAACTTTTAAGCAAACTGGGCATTATCGTTTAATCTATCTATCAATCTATCAAATGTTTATTATTAAACTTATCTCAGACTCTATAACATTTTTCCCAAGAGTGATTTAAAACAAATTTATATGAATTTAGAAATAAATATGAACAGTATTTACTTACCTGTAAAACAGATGCTTTTTGCTTAATTAAATATGTTGGAAAATATTATCCAGTAGGTACAAATACACAACACTTAAACACAACAAAATAAACTAATAAAATAATAGTTTCTAATCCAAATTTCACAAATACTGTTTATGTTTCTTCGCGAGGGACGAAAAAACTGAATTTTTTAATTACTCAGATATGCATTAAGGTATATTTCAATTCAAAAGCTTATAAATATTTATTTTTATAAGACATAACCTAAACGAAACGAAATTACAAGTCGAGAAAGATCAACAAAACTGCCGAATTTAGAAGCGAATATAACTTTTTTTCCTTTTTTCTTGTCACAGTTGAAACAAACAAGGATAAAGCTATTTTCGTAAAACATGGGTGAAACGGCTAATAAGTGGCCCAATAGATGTGACCTCGCGCCCTTCCATTTTTGAACGATGGGCGGGTTTAACGGATTCCCCTCAAAGAAAATCGTAGGGGAATACAAAAATTCAGAACGGGCAAGGCGCCACCTAGAAGACGGGCTTGTACTAAGCCCTCATTGTACATCTATTTATACATAATCAAGGGTAGTAGTAAAGGGCCATTAATACTGCTTTCCCGTTCAAAATATTCTAATAAAGTTGCGATGAGTTTTTAACGACTGTTAAACTGCTTTGGCATCTTATAAACTTCACACTATAAGAGATTCTAAAAAGAACAATGTTTGACTGCAAGGTCTGCTAGTAAACATTTCCAAGCTTAAAACAAGTTTAGATTGGAAAGTGTCCATAAGGACAAGGTAAACACTGTTTGGCGCTATTATTGCAACGGTCGCGACCCAAAACTTTTGAACATTTCGGAGCGGTTCGGCTTTTTCCGGAATTATATCGCCAAATGTTGTTTATTCAAATGTATTATTATTTTCGTTTAATTTTATAAATACAAGACAGTGTGTTGCATACAAGAAACTTTATTTTATATAAGGACGCATGTATGAAATACCTATGAAACATTGGAAACCAGAGAGAACACTAATAACTAAAGTAAGAGAGACCGATCAACGTTAATTTTTGAAGGCTGTGTTAGTGGCGCGGCCTTTGGCGTCTAACCCGAACTATGAGCGCATTATCGATATAGTAGGTTGCATTCATACCTATATACTGGCGCCGAAAATCTAAATGTATATTTGAACCGAATCTTAATCTTTCAAATTTATAGTAAGAGATCTTCGTAGTTTTTTTAGATTATTTTGTTGACAGCGAAAATTTATTATTAGACTTTAAAACATTAAAACTTATAAATAAAATACTGTGTAGAAACATAATAATTTATTTACCTCCATACTCCTTGCCATACTCCAAATCAAGGCTGCAATCTTCAGTATCTTTTTTATCTAACTTGGTTGGAAGTGAACAGGGAAGCACGGTTGGGAGCTCGCACAGAGTATCAGTAGGTATCCCGTAGGTATGTTTTTGATAGTCTTTATTCTATAACAAGAACCTAGCAGTTGAAGAAAATAATTTGTATTACTGGAAATAATACCAGGTATAATACCTAGTCGTTCCATAGGTATCAAAAAAGAATGTGATGTTTTAAATTAAAAAAATTAAATTAGCAATGTACGATTATTATGTGCATTCACTATTACTATTAGGTATGTTAAAATAATTACCGAGATATAACTTACCTTTAAAGGAAACGTTTTGTCTGGGTCTCAACCACAAAACAAAAATTACAAAAATGCCGAATAATCGTTGAATCTGAAATAATCAATAATGACAATAATGTTCTCTTCTGACAAGCTAAAAGAACAGGCACATTCAGTCAAAAACAATTTATTGCTCCGATTTGCTCCGATTATCAACAGATTTTAGTTATCTCCTTCTAGAACTAAGAAATAGAAAAAGCTACTGACAATCTAATTAATCCTGTCAAATGTTTAACTTGCAAAGTTGAAAACTTCCGTTTTTGACGCTATGCGCGTCTGGGATGCGCGGTGACAAAATAAACTTGTCTACGAAATGCTCTATTCCACAAGCCCTCTCACTTTAGTTATTAATTTCTCTTTGTTAGAAACCGACGTTATGCCACGATCCACGATGGTTTTTGCAGTTCACACTTCACAGCACAGCTTATTAAGTTTTTAATGCCACTTTTTCACAATTATCACCGGTTGGAGTAAATAAAACTTGAATTAAACTCACAAGATAGCAAATATTACTTTGAAAATGGATGCTATAAACACTTTTCGGAATTTCTTTAATGAGAGCGGTTTGGATTTTGAAAGATTATTATGATTTTTGAAGATTCTGACTCTGATAAGAGAATTTTCCGGAATTATATCGCCAAATATTGTTTATTCAAATTTATTATTATTTTCGTTTAATTTTATAAATAAAATACAGTGTGTTGCATACAAGAAACTTTATTTTATATAAGGACGCATGTATGAGACACCTATGAAACATTGAAAACCGACGTTAGCCACGATCCACGATGGTTTTTGCAGTTCACAGTCCACAGCACAGCTTTTTAAGTTTTTAATGCCACTTTTTCACAATTATCACCGGTTGGAGTAAATAAAACTTGAATTAAACTCAGAAGATAGCAATAATTACTTTGAAAACGGATGCTATAAACACTTTTCGAAATTTCTTTAATGGGAGCGGTTTAGATTTTGAAAGATTATTATGATTTTTGAAGATTCTGACTTTGATAAGAGAAAATTATTTTTGTTTTTGTTTGCCGTTGTTCTTAGCGACCGCTATAGCAGAGCCAGATCGCGTATAACGGTCGCGACCCAAAATAATTTCGCGACCTAAAATCTTTACGGGCTTTCCAATCTAAACTTGTTGCATTTATCTATGCTTAAAGTATCACAACACTATTTATTTAAACTAAAAACTCGTAATAGAAAAATAAAGTGTCAAAATAAATGACAATGTCAAAAAATAAATAAATAAATAAGGCAACTTGACATTTTTTTACAGCAGTGCTACCACCTGAATCCCCAGCACGAAATTTAAATTCCAGTTAGTAAGCACAACGCCGAATATATCCATGGTTGGCAACAATGAATTTAAAAATCGCAAGCTTAATCACGTGACTAAACGTTTATTTCGTATGAACTGATTTGATTTTAAGATATACTAATATTCTTTCTGATATAGTCTAAGAGCTAGCAACGTTTTCGAGAAAGTATTTTAAGACGTCTGGCTCTTTGATATATCTTTTATTATGCTCTCTGGAACAGCGTGCAGGCCGTCTGGCTGCCGATACACGTTGCGTTCACTACTGCGCATCCAAAGAAGATCCTATATTTTTTACTTAGCGCTTTAAATTCTAGTATTGAATATAAACCGAGTAAAGGTAGGGTTTCCTAGGACTGTCGGTGACGAACGACGGAACCGAAAGCGGAGCGAAAACCGAAAGTTCGCCGCGAAATTCTGCCGCGGAGGTGGAGGCCTAAATTTTATTGAAACATGATTTCCGTCACAGTTTTTCGCAGTTCTTTGGTCCTGAAAGACACCTTAGAAGGCGTATTTGTATACACCTTCTGCCTCAAGAAGAAGCAGAAGAAGAAAATCGCTTCCTTCGTCTATTTCAGGACAATGAAAGAAAAATAAATAAATAAAATTTATTTAAAATGAAGGAAAAAAGGTACGTTTATATTGCTGATTGAGCCAAAACTATCCTAGAATGACAACAAATTTAATAAGTATTTCAGAGTCAATATTGTTCATCAATATAATATAAATTTTCTTGTCAATAAACGAAAACGTATGACCGTTCATTGTAAATATCGCTCGGCTCTCGGTTGAAATCAACCCTCGACCGAATACAGCCGACAACCGAAACTGACAAAATACGCGCGGAAATCAGCCGCCGAATATAACCGACTCTAAGAAACCGCTTCCATTTAAAAATGCAGTCTAAAATCCAGCGGACGTCCGCCGCGGTCGGTGTCGGCCGGCCGACACTCCTAGGAAACCCCAGCTTTAGTCTCCATTAGCTCGGCGCGTAGAGCTTTCGCCTATGAACCGAAGGTCAGTGGTTCGATACCGGCTGGGGGTGCAACTTTTTTTTATTTTTTTTTCGTTTATATTCTGATAGTAAAGTATTAAATATTTGCTTTTTTTATCACCAGAACGGATGGCGTTTATGGGTTTATGATCCGTAGTATATATAAGTAGAATTTGATACTTTTATTTGTTTTGAAGGATTATTGTGGTAATTAATTATTAGATAGGTTTAGGATAGTCTGGCTGCCGCGCCGGTAGGTTGCGTTCACTACTGCGCATCACATGGGTACAGGGTGTCTCATTTTCCTGCGTTTTTTGGGATTTCTCGTTTATGAGTGGAGATACAATGATGCGTTTTTTTTCACATTACTTTGCTAGTTTTTTATGTAATTAAATATTCTACCCATAGATTTACGCATTTTCTACACATTAACATTAATCAGTCTTGTTTAAAAAGTATTATTAAAATGATTATTAAAATAATAAACAACAGCTGAAAAAAATATTTGGAAGAAAGACAGGCAGAAATTACGTTAATAAAGCATTAAAATATTAATTTTTATATATTATGTTTAAATCTTTAAAATGAAATTATAAAAGAATTAAATATTTTTATGAATGAGGCAAGAAAAAATGACGGCCAACATTTTTAGTTTTATTTTTAGACATTATGTTTAAATCATTACAATCTAATTATTATAATTTAATTAAATATTTTTATTTAATATTAGTGTCAGCAAATATTTATTACTTTACTATCAGAATATAAACGAAAAAAAAAAAAAAGTGGCACCCCCAGCCAGTATCGAACCACTGACCTTCACTTCATAGGCGAAAGCTCTACGCGCCGAGCTAATGGAGACTTGCTCGGTTTTTATTCAATACTAGAATTTAAACCGCTAAGTATAAAATAGAGGATCTTCTTTGGATGCGCAGTAGTGAACGCAACGTGTATCAGCAGCCAGACGGCGTGCACGCTGTTCCAGAGAGCATAATAAAAGATATATCAAAGAGCCAGACGTCTTAAAATACTTGTTTTCCCGACGTTGCTAGCTCTCGTACTAATAGATATACAGCGTTTTCTAAGTTCTTACGGTAAATCATTTAGTTAGAGTTAAGTGACTGATCACTTAGAAAACACCCTTTATAGGTATATAATCCATTTTCGACAATAAAGTGGTTTAAGTTGCCAATTTTTTTTGTTTGTTTCAAATTTTATTCGAAATTTTTCAGTTGGAAAATATGTTTCATAGTTCATCGAATTATGTATTTCATGTTTTATTTTTTATCTATTTATATTGTATTTACATACATTTAAACTGAAAAACTATATATTGACTTTTGAGAGATGATAACAAATTCAATTATTTA